CCACCCGCACTCCAGGCCGCCGTACGGGGCCTGCAGCCTCCGTCCGCCGCCTTCCCCCATCTCCCGCCCCCAATCCAGGCCGGCGGATGGGGCCTGCAGCCTCCGTCCGCAGCCTTTCCCCACCTCCCGCCCCAACTCCAGCCCGGGTCCCCTCACCGGTCCGCTCCACCGGTCCACTCCCCCCCTCCTTTTTCTCTCTCTCTCCTCCCAACATTCTCTCTCTCACTCACTCTGTTTCCCCCCTCTCTTTCTTTCTCTGCCCTTCTTCCATCTCAACTATCCTTCGTCCCATTCACTCTCTCTCAATCTCTGTCTTTCTACCCATCTTCCTTCCTTCCTTCCTTACATTCTTCGTCCCTTCCTTCCTAGCTTTCTTCCTTCCTTTCTTTCCAAATTACTAACATTAACCCCACTCTGTCTCCCCCCCTTTTCTCTCTTTCCCCCCTCTCTAACTCTGTCTCTCTCTCTCTACCTCCTCTTCTCCATTCCTCCCTTCCAATCGCCCTTCCTTCCTATCTAGGGCCCGTCGTCTACCACCACGACGGGCTTTTCTTACTAGTTTGGTATAAGCTGAATGTCTCTTGAAAGTCTAAGTACATGATATTTCCTTGTACAATGTGCTGTACATGGGTTATGTTAATTTAGAAGATATTTACAAACCTAAGTTACTAAATTAAGCTCTTGGATGCACAATGTGACCAAATTTGCATTAGCCAGGATTGATTATTGACTTACTGACTAGGCACACCCTCCCTCACAATTCAAAATGCTCCCTTTTCTATAGAATTTTTCCTTCATATAAGTTGAATGTACCCTGATCTTGATAAATGCATAATTTTACTTACATAAATAGAAGAGAATTAGAGATTGGATTTATACCTCACCCTTCATTTGGAGTCTCAGAGCAGTTTACAAACTCCTTTCCCTTCCCCTCCCCACAGCAGACACCCTGTGAGGTAGGTGGGGCTGAGAGAGCTCTTTCCAGAACTGTCCTCGAGAGAACAGCTCTGACAGAACTATGGCTTGCCCAAGGTCATTCAGCAGCTGCAAGTGGAGGAGTGGGGAATCAAACCCGGTTCTCCCAAATTAGAGTCTGCACACTTAACCACTACACCAAACTGGCTCATATATGACACAGCCTGTGCTGTCTGTCCCTTGGGTGAGTGAGAACCCTTGTGTTCTGGGCTTTTGGGAGTCAACAGACACTTCTGTCAGTTTTTTGGGTTGTTGTTTGTTTGTTTTTTTGCTTTTCTACGGGACTAATAAGGATTAAAAAGAGAATTTAGTTGTTCCTTCTTAGCCCCCTTTAGCTTAATCTCTGTTTGCAAGTTCTTCCTTGGTTCTGAAGAGCAGAGAGCAACATTTAATTAGTCAAGGGATTCAGAAACAAGGTCAGAGTCTGGGAGAGTGGTGCACACACGTGACAGTATTAATATCCAGGTCTGGGATATTGTTTTGTGCTCCATTTTTAGAACTCCATAATATCAAATCCTCAGTTGGAATAGATCAATACAAATTCAGTGACTGACACCAGTAGAGGAACTGTTGTTTTCTTCCCTTTCCTTCTATTTCTGACAGTATCCATTGTGCAAACATATTCCCAAGACATTACACATAATCCTTAGCTGTTTTCCCTCTTTGAAAGAAGGAACTGAGAGTCTTGCTCTCTAATGCTTGTGTTTTCTGATTCACTGATTTTTGTACTTTGTTTCTCCTGACCTTTTGCCTTCAAGTGAAACTTTCCCCCCCTAATCTCTCCTATGAGAGTATGTAACATTTCCAATTTAATGGCATTCTCCATCCTTCAATTTTGGTGAAATGCCTGGTTTCCCCATAATGACACAGTGCTCAATTCTTACCTGTTGGCCAGTTGATTTCTTTCCCTTGAGTTAGCAAAGAAGAAGAAGAAGAAGAAGAA